ATTACGCAGAGGCGGTCGCACAACTGGAAGCCGCGAAACCGGTAAATAAAAAAAGCTCGCTGCTATCGTTGAACCCCATGCTAGATAAAAGTGGCGTAATGCGTGTAAACGGCCGCCTTAAGCACGCCGTTCTCACCTACAATGAACGACACCCCATCATAATACCCGAAAACTCCAAGTTCTTTTCTCTCTTCATAGATTTTCTCCACACAACTCTACTCCACGCGGGAAAACAGCTCATGGTCCGGATGGTACAACAAGAGTATTACGTCCCAAGACTTAAGCAGAAAGTTAAAAAATGCATTTTCCACTGCAAGGTGTGCACCATACACAAGCGAGAAATGCGATCGCAGATAATGGCGGCCTTGCCTCCAGCACGAGCAACCTACTCGCTACCATTTCACACCACGGGAATAGACTTCGCGGGCCCATTCCTGGTGAAAACTTCTTTACTGCGTCGCGCCTCACACACAAAAGCATATGTATGCGTGTTTGTCTGCTTCTCCACCAAAGCCATACATCTAGAACTCTGCTCAGACCTGACAATAGAAGCCTTCAAGGCCTGCTTTGCCAGATTCGTTGGTCGACGTGGTCTCCCCCATAAAATCATGTCGGACAACGGGAAAACTTTCGTAGGCGCTCAAAGGTCAATCCACCGAGAACTTTCCACTTTTCTTAAGGAAGCCGCCTCAGATATCGCTGAAAAATATATCGTTCATGGCCTCTCCTGGCAATTTATACCACCATACGCTCCTCATATGGGAGGCCTGTGGGAAGCAGCGGTTAAAAGTTTTAAGACGCACTTCAACAAAGTCGCGGGGAATCACAAATTCACGTTTGAAGAATTCACCACACTGCTCATACGAATCGAAGCGGTACTCAATTCCAGACCGCTGTCGCCTTTGTCTCAAGATCCTAGCGATTTACAGCCTCTTACTCCCGGTCACTTCTTAAGAGGAGCACCACTTGCCTCTCTGCCAGAACCTAACGCAGAAAACCTGTCTCTTCCAAACAAGTGGCAGAAGCTCAAGGTACTTCACCATCAATTCAGCACCCGATGGAAAACTGAATATTTGCAAGAGCTACACAAACGGCATAAGTGGAAAGGCAAAGAACCCAATATCGCAGTGGAAGACCTCGTCGTCATCAAAGAAGACAACCTCCCACCAAATGATTGGCGCCTCGGACGTATTGTTAAGCTCTATCCCGGTCCCGACCAAAACGTTCGCGTGGCTGACATCCGTACCCAAAAGGGAATTATAACACGCAACATCGCAAAATTATGCTTGTTACCACCTCCACCCAGCACAATGGATGCTTAACGCATCAAACTTTATTCAAAATTCTCTTTTCTTTATACCTCAATATACAGACTCTGTGGTTAACCACAGAACATTTTCACTCCCATTCCCTCCGTATTTACGCAAAAAAAAACTAATGTTTGGTTTCAAATTTAATTTCTTCATAGGACAAGTGAAGCATCCATGGAGCTCAGCAAATGTCGCCTTTGTTGCCGCCCCCATTCATTGCGCTACTGTAAAGCTTTTCTCGCCATGACGCCGGCTGAAAGGCATGAGTCAGCCCGGTGCCTGTGACTCTCCAGCCAGCTGTCATCAGTGTGGTAGGGCGCACCACACGCTGCTACATCGAACGCTGGCGAAGTCGTCAACGATCCGACGTAGGGAGAGGACTCGCTATGCTAGCCGTCGGACAATCCGGCGTACTCGAGGTCTGCAAAGTCCCACCGCTGCCCGGAGTCGTAAAATGCGTGAGCTGCTCAATAAAGCGCAAGACATCATCAACCAGCTGAAGGAGCTAGTATCCGCTTCTACGCGGCCGGCCGGGCGTGATGTCGAAGACATGGATGATGATGAATAATTAGCTAACCTTTATCTTA